CAACTACAGCAAAGTAAATCGCATTGATTCATAAGCATGCACTACATTGAAAGACTTTTTGTCTTTCTATTATCAATGTTTCTTGTTTTGACTCACCAAACCGCCGATCAGGGTAGCCTCATTCTACTTTCGTTTCTGGAACAGAAAAATGCCATTTCGCCGATTAGATTCGTGCATTGATGGCGATTTGAGTGAAGAAGTTTGAAGATTTAAAAAAAAAAATAAGCGCGATATTTTTTATGTTGGAAGAATTTTTTGGAATGCATTCACACTTGGAATATTCTACTTTCTTTCTTCTCGACATTGCAAATAAATCTCTTAATCAGAACAAATCAAAATTTTTCAAGTGGTGATATTATTCAGAAAAAGTTTTCCCCGCATATAATTACGATTTAACGCGATCTTTGATTTGATTCAAATTATTAACTTAATTTCGAGCAAGAGAATTATCAATCTTGTCGAATTCTAATTATAAATGCTAATTAATGAAACTCACCTTCGAGCTAACCCCGCTGGGCCCGAGCCGAATCCTCCGGCGCAGCAACTCTTAAGAGTCAACTGGTCGTCTGCTTCGTCTCTGCAATAGAAAGCAGATTTTATTTAGTATTATACAATGGAGACATTAAGGAACTCGATTTCAAACAAGAAAATTTTCAGTTTTATCAGATTTATCGGAATTATGAATTTAAATCAGTGAAACTCACCTTCACGCCAACTCTGCCAGACCCAAGCCGGATCCTCCGGCGCAGCATCCCCTTAGAGTCGAGTGCTCGTCTCTGCAACAAAAAACAAATTTAATTGAGTATTAATTAGTTACACGATGATGGAAGCATTAAGGAACTCGATTCCAAACAAGAAAATTTTCAATTTTGTCGAATTTCTAATTATAAGTACAAAGTAGTGAAGCTCACCTTCAAACCAACTCAAACGAGCCAAATTCTCCGGTGCGGCATCCCCCAGGCATGGCATCTCCTAGAGCCGCGTGACTGCGTCGGCTCTATTGCATCTCTATGACAGAAATTTAATTTAACTTAGTAATTTAATAATTTAATATCAATTAGTTACACGCGACAACAAAACGAAGAAAAGAAATTGTCGTAACGATATACCTGAATTCCTTCCCAATACACAATAAGAAATAATTAAACGACAGCCGAATAAAGAAGTAATAAAACCCGATTAATTAATTAATTAATAGATGATGATAATAATATCTGATCGACAACCGTATAATAATGTCCGGTAATATCAATTAATTACACACGATACCAAGACGAGATAAGGAAATCGTCCTAACGGCACGTTCGAGTTGCTTCCCAATACACAATAAAAATAGTTAAATGACAACCGAATAAAGAAATAATAAATGGATGATATCCGAATAATAAATGGATGATGATAATATTTGATCCGCATTGAGGAACTTGATCGCGACATTTCTCTATCTAACAAGTAAAAAAGTAAATGAAATACAATAATTACCCGCTGCGATAAAGTCCACAACACCTGCTCACGTGATAAGTACGCGTCTCAATTCGTGTTAATTATTGTCTCAATTGTGGCGTAGTCAAAATGCGGTATTAAAAATCGGCTCAAAATAATTTATAAAATAACGCGACAGCTCCCGCGATGCGCTCGCCTCGACCGCTGATAGCGTTATGACGTGATGCTCGAGCACGCGCATTTACATGACCCAGCCGCGCGCTCCCCTCTGCCCAGCACTGCTGTTCGCAGCCTGAGCGGGTCTACGATGGTTGATTTACCTAACCTTTGTGAAGCTTAGAATTTTTGTTAGAGCCGTTGTCCAGGTATTGTTATTACCAATTATTTGATCATCATTATTCCCTTATTATCCATTTGCGGATATTATCACACGATTATCGAGCAGATATTATTATCACTACCATTTATTATTCAACTATTGTTACTTTTTTATTCGATTATTATTTAATTTATTCGGTTATTATTTAATTATTGCTTTTACGCATAGAAAAGCCACTCGGACGTGTCGTTACGACAATTTCTTTATCTCGTCTTTGTTCAGTTATTATCCTCGTTGCCTAGTTATTGTTATTCATTGTTATTACCGATTATTCGATTATTATTATTCCCTTATTATCCGCTTGTGGCTATTATCATTCAACTGTCCATCAGGTATTATTATAATTATTGTAAAAAAGTAATAATATTTGAATAATAAATGGTAATAGTAATAATACCTGATCGACAATCGTACGATAATATCCGCGAGTGGATAATAACTGAATAACGATGATCGAATGATCGGTAATAATAATGAATAACAATAACAACGACGATAATAACTGAATAAAGACGAGATAAAGAAATCGTAATGGCACGCCCGAGTTGCTTTCCTACGTGTAATAGCAATAATTAAATAATAACCGAATAAATTAAATAACAACCGAATAAAGAATAATATTCGAATATTAAATGGTAGTGATAATAATATCTGCTGGACAATCGTGTGATGAGATCCGCAAGTGGATACTAACTGAATAACGATGATCGAATAATCCGTAATAACAACGAATAACAATAACTGTGCAACGACGATAATAAGAACAAAGACGAGGTAAAGAAATCGTAAAGGCACGCCCGAGTTGCTTTTCTATGCGTAATGAATAAATTATGATAACTTCGAATAAATGTGATATTAAAAATTGGCGCAAAATAATTTAGAAAATAACGCGGCAGTTCCCGATGTACTCGTCTCGACGGTTGAGAGTGTAATGGCGTGACGCTCGAACACGTGCTCGCGCACGTGTGTTATATGATCCGGCCGCGCACCCCACTAAGCGCCGCTCAGTCAGCGGCACGAGCGGACCATTACGACGGTATGTTTACCTAGTGTAGGATATAAAAACCGAACTAACACGCGGCATCTTGACAATAACAACAATATAAGGGTGCTATTTCACGTGTCGTACGGATACGTAGCTTTTTGGATACGTTTATTGGTTGGCGAATAGAATATTTCTAGGTTCTCTGTTCGTCAACCAATGAACTTCCAAAAAACTTGTACGACACGTGAAATATCAGCCTAAGAAGACAAGAGAGAGTATGTTGGAGCAAGAGCATGGGTAGCTCAGTGGTGTAGAACAATCGCCCGGCAAGCGAAAGACCCGAGTTTGAATCCCGGCCCAGCAAACTCCGGCTTGCGATATACTTTTCTCTCCGACTCTTAAACTAACCTTTGTGGAGTCTTGAGTTTTTTGAGAGCCTTTGCCTAGATATTGTTATTACCGATTATTCGATCATTATTTCGTTATTATCCACTCGCGGATATTATTACACGATTGTCAAGCAGATATTATTATCACTACTATTTAATTTTTGAATATTATTACTTCTTTATTCGGTTCTTATATAATTTATTCGGTTATTATTTAATTATTGCTATTACGCGTAGGAAAGCAACTCGGGCGTGCCGTTACGATTTCTTTACCTCGTCTTTGTTCAGTTATTATTGTCGTTGCCCACTTATTATTATTCATTGTTATTACCAATCATTCGATCATCGTAATTTAGTTATTATTGTACGGTTGTCGATCAGATATTATTATCACTACCATTTGTTATTCGAATATTATTACTTTTCTACAATAATTATAATAATACTTGATCGACAATTGTATGATAATAATCGCGAGCGGATAATAAGGAAATAATAATGATCGAATAATCGATAATAACAATAAATAACAATAACTAGGCAACGATGATAATAACTAAACAAAGACGAGATAAATTGTCGAAACGACATGCCCGAGTGACTTTCCTATGCGTAATAGCAATAATTAAATAATAACCGAATAAATTAAATAATGAACGAATAAAGAAGTAATAATACTCGAATATTAAATGATAGTGATAATAATATCTGCTCGATAATCGTGTGATAATATCCGAGTAGATAACGGAATAGTGATGATCGAATATTCGGTAATAACAATACCTCGGCAACGACTCTAACAAAAACTCTACTCCACAAAGGCTAGATAAACGGACTGTCGTAACGTCTCGCTCGTGTCGTTGACTAAGGAGGGCGCGCGCCCGGGTCATATCACATACATGCGCGAGCACGTGCTCGAGCGTCACGCCATGACACTCTCAACCGTCGAGACGAGCACATCGAGAGCTGCCGATGATCTAGTTTTACGATAATATCGCTGCCAGCTCACTTCGTGCCTACGTCGCGCAGTCCGCTCATCAATGGTAAGACAAGAATAGAGCGAATGGACGTCTGTCTTTCTCTAACTTATTATCATTGTACGGAAGTACAACGGGCACGAACCAGGCACATTTTACCGTTACCATCGCGAAAATACGCCTAACGAACGTAGTAAAGGCATACTTTGTTAGATGGCGTCTCGAAAATGCGCCTAGCTCTAGCCCTTGAGATCAGGTTAGTGGCCACTCTCATGCTTCTCTCTGCTGTTACCAACGATGAAGTACCATAGAGACTATCATCGACCTCAGGTAAAATTTCGTGACTGTCATGAAACCCGTGGATAATCGCAGAGTGCTGACATTACCGACTGCCATTCGACACAATTACTTAGATACATGTATTGGCCACCCAAAATATTGACAATCATGTGAACTCTCGCTCAAACCGTTGGCATTTAATTCTCGTCAGTGACTTCATGTTTATTTGCATTGAGAATGATTAAAAGTGGATTACACTTTAGAATTATGTATTCCGTCGGATAACTAATCAAACAATCTACAAATTTGCAACTCGCCGAATGACGAGCACATCCACTTTTTATTCGAATTTCACTTTCTATTTTCTCGTATCACGTGACGTTGTCCTTATTGGCATCGCGGTGACCGACAATGACAGCGGCGCGCCTGGTAACGCGACTAGCGTGTTAGCCGGGTAGCGATCGCCGATTGGTCAGCCGTGTGAGCATGGAAACCAATCGGCCAATTGCAGCTCGTCGTCTCGCTTCGGTCCGCGGGACGCCGTATGCGCAGAAATCCCGTCTCCGGCTCCTGTCTGACATATATTATGCTCGATGCTAGGATTTTCCGTCGCAGCTGGCTGATAACGGCGTAACATCATGGCGGTTAGCGACAAGAAGCCGATGTCACGTCTAATGAAACTCGCCAACAAATTCAATTGCTTCTACCTGTCAGGTAAGTGAAAGCGGCGAGCCGTGCTCACACTATTCCGTATCGTCTCAATTGACGCGTCTGCTGGTCGTATGATCGATAGGAACGCGCGGCTACCATCCGTACGAACCGCCGAGAATATTGATTTCGAGTGTTGTATGACAAGATATACACTTCCTTTGGCGTTTCCATTCGAAGTGACGAGTCAAATTTCGAGGAAATGTACGGCGCAATTAACGGCGAGTCGCGTGTGCTCCTCCCGTTTCTCGTGTTATCGTCGCTTGTTACGTGCCTCTCCCGAAAAGCAGCGGTTCTCGAACAGTCCTGAACTTTTTTTGTCAAGACAGATACAATCGACATTCCCTTTAGAGATGAAAGACCATTGTTCGGCGAGAGATTTGGATGTGTCGCGCATATTTCCGAATAGGTCCGATTAACTGATTCCTATATTCAGATAACAGAACTGTGAAATGCCTATAAATTTATTGTCTTATGCATACTACTCCTAAAGGAAAATGTTACTTAGTGACTATTCTGTATGATCTGTGTGTGTTGTATATGAGAGCTATGGTCGTTAATGTGAATCATAATATTTGAATATTATTATGTATATGCTTTTGTTTCTTAGGTTTTCATGCAGGAGAATGCAGAGCATTTGTTGTCGATGGGCAGCAAGTTGGTCTTGTACGTCCAGATGTAATGAAGGAAATTTTAAACTATCCTCAAGTAAGTTTGTCCACTTTGCATTTTCTATTGACATGTTAACTACTCTAGTGGCATATATATATATATATATATATATACACACACACACACACACACACATATATATATATATATGCGATGCATCAATTAATCACCCGAGATCAACATCACATGTATGTTACATATAACGCTGCATATAACAGCAACAATGTTTTCTTCTTCTTCCATATGAACAAACTGAGTCTATTTGACTATTATATAAGAAAATACAATCTGAGCTTTGAGGAGAGTTTCCCAAATTAATCTGAGGATTGTTTTCAAAGAACTTCTGAACTAGTGCAATAAGTTAGAATGAAAGAAAATATACTTGTTCCACTTATCCTCTTATTAATCTAATTCAGAAGTTCTTGAAATAAACTTCTATACTTATATACCTATGTTTATGATGTATCATCAATTTTCAAGGTATTCCAAGTGCAACCAGAATACGTGCAACTAAACCCAGCCTTTCGAGATTATGCAGAGAGAAGTGCACGTGTCGATGAAGTGTTGAGAGAATGGAAAGCAGGTGGGAAATTCATAACACTACGTGGCTGGAGGGAGGAATGTCATGAAGTTCGAGCTCAGTTTAATACCATCCCACTGCTTAAGATGGATCGCTCAGCCACATGTATGTACAAGAATTTGTTTGCTACAATATTCATGCTGTGCAATTGAATATCAATTATACTGTTTTAAAAATGACAGGCTTATTCGGCATTCGGAAATACGGAGTGGATATAAATGGTTATGTAATGGATCCTGTCAAAGGTTTGTCAATATGGTTACAAAAGCGTAGTCCTAACAAACAAACGTGGCCGGCGTACTGGGACAGCATGGTGAGCGGCGGATTGACTGTTGGCTATGGCATAAACGAAACCGCGATAAAAGAGGCATTCGAAGAAGCTGGAATTCCGAATAATCTTATTGCTAAGCTAAAGAGCGCCGGTTGCGTGTCGTTCTTTTTCGAGAGTGAGAGGGGTCTGTTTCCTAATACGGAATTCGTATATGATCTTGAACTGCCACCGGATTTCATACCGAGTAATAGCGACGGAGAAGTAGAAACCTTCGAGTTACTACCCGTTAGTGAATGCTTAGAGAGGATACTCTCCCCACACTTCAAGACTACGTCTGTACCGGTCGCCCTTGACTTCTTAATTAGACACGGATACATCACAGCGGAGAATGGTAAGGCGTCATTTTCTTTTTTTATCGTATCTCCTGTTTCACTCTCTCTCTCTCTCTCTCTCTCTCTCTCTCTCTCTCTCTCTCTCT